ACGTCCATACAGTCCCTACTGGACGAGCCGAACCCGAACAGCCCGGCCAACAGCCTGGCCGCCCAGTTGTATCAGGAGAACCGCCGCGAGTATGAGAAGCGCGTGGCGGCGATCGTCGAGCAGAGTTGGCTCAACTTCAGCGAGGATGAGGAGAAGGAGGCCAAGAAGTCCGGCTCGACGACGACAGTGGCGGCCGATACGGCCTCTTAATGCCGGTGCCGGCGGTGCTGTTCTCCCCCGACATTACATCCCATTTAGATATCTATATAATAATTATTATGTCATTTCTCGAGACCCGCTTTTAATTTGATTTATTTTGCCACTCATTTCGTTGTGTAATTAGTTTTTAATTATGTTTTCTCTCTCTCTCTCTCTCTATTAAATCAAAATTTATGTAAAATACAACACAAAGTTTGCGTTCAAATGCGGACACAAAAAGTGTTTTTCTCGTTAGAGAATTATTCGCCGACTTTTTTAAATGTATTGTTTTTTTGAATTATAAATTCTGTACTTATTTTGTAATCAGTTTTTCCCACTTATTTTGTTCACTCTCTCTCTCTCTCTCTCTCTCTCTGTCCGCCAAATACAACCCCAAAAACCATTCAAAAGACATGTGTTTATTAGGAAAACAAACGCTTTTCGCTCGAAGTTTTAATATACACTTTGTTTGGCCTAAAATTTTCTCAGATATATAACTCAACATTGTTTTTGTGCACAACTCTTAATAAGTTATAATTACATTATAAATATATACATATATTTATAAATGATATATATATTATAAAACAAAATGACGGTTAGTTTTTTGAATTAATTGATATATTAATTATATAATAGACAAACAAACAAAAAACAATAACATAAACAGACTCGAGTGTGTAATTTGAAATGATATATACTGTATGATGAACGCCAGGGCCACTCTATTATTACAGGACCTCCAAGTCTACGTGTCGCACCTGTGGGTGTCTTTTCTGTATTATAAATAACAAATTCATTGATTAATTTAAAAGTTTAATTAATAAAAAACGATTTCAATTCTGTACGTAATTCTGTAACTCATTGAACACATCCCGTCCCCCCCAGACATACCTTTAACTCCTTCTCGATTCTGTCCACCTCTGCGCCCAACATGTCGACGATATTCTCGCCGTGTTTCAGCATAAAGGCCTCCACTTCCTCCATGGCCTTCAGCTCCTGCATCTCCTTCAGTAGGACTTCCAAATCAATGGTATCCAAGTAATGGCGCGTTAGGGTGCGCCCGTCGAAGTCCACTTCGGCTATCATGTCATATACACAGACCACACCATTAGTTGACTGACATCCATACGCCCAATGGTTAGCCCCCCACACATACCCTTATATCTGACCATTTCGTTGCCCATATCCGTGGCCTTCACGTCATGTATAGCTCTCACCATTTCGTCCGCTTCTAACTGTTTGTTAATCTCCAGCATCCTATTAGTCGGTATGGAGCGACCTACCAGTGCCCCGCTGTTGGTGTATATGATGAATGAGGCGA